CAGGAATGCTCACACACATACACAGAGGTGCTTACACACAGGTGCACACACAGGCACACACAGAGACGAGCATGCTCACACACACACAGAGGTGCTTACACACAGGTGCACACACAGAGACGGGAATGCTCACACACACACAGAGGTGCTTACACACAGGTGCACACACAGGCACACAGAGGTGTGTGCGCACACACAAACACACACACATGCCCTGGCCAGAAGTGACTGCTTGGTATTTCATCTTTTCCAACAGGGAGACTGAGGGGGTTCCCAGCACCGCCATCAGAGAGATCTCCCTGCTCAAAGAACTGAAGCACCCCAATATTGTCAAGTGAGCTGGGAAAGGAAGTGAGAGGGTGGGGGTTGGGGTCCTGAGTGCCACATCCTGAGACTGAGCCCTCCCTGCCAGACTGCTGGATGTGGTCCATAGAGAGAAGAAACTCTACCTGGTGTTTGAGTTCCTCACTCAGGACCTGAAGAAGCACATGGACTCCGCCCCCACCTCAGAGCTCCCTCTGCACGTAGTCAAGGTACCCAAGGAAAAGCAAGAGGGCAAGGCCACGCCCCCGGCTGGCCAGCCACCTTGTGTTTAATGGCTCTTTCTCTCGGTCATTCCCACAGAGCTACCTCTCCCAGCTGCTGCAGGGGCTGAACTTCTGCCACTGCCATCGAGTCATCCACCGAGATCTGAAGCCTCAGAACCTGCTCATCAATGAGTTTGGCGCCATCAAGCTGGCTGACTTTGGACTGGCTCGAGCCTTCGGGGTTCCCATGCGCACCTACACCCACGAGGTGGTGTAGGCCGGGGGAGTGGGAGGGGCAGCCAAATGATGTCATCAGTGGATTCGGCCATCATGATGATGCTGCTTCTTGCCCCCACAGGTGGTGACACTGTGGTACCGTGCTCCCGAGATCCTCTTGGGCAGCAAGTTTTATTCAACAGCCGTGGATGTCTGGAGCATTGGTTGCATCTTTGCAGAAATGGTAGGAGGGGAACAAGCTGAGCTAGGGGCATTCCTCAGTGGTAGGGTCGGGGAAGGCCCTGGGTTCAGTTCCCAAGACTGCAACCAAAAACAAAACTTTTTGAGCCAGTGACCAGGGAGATGGCTTAATGGGTAATTGTGCTTGCCGCCCAGCCTGACAACTTGATTTCTATCCCTAAAGCATACACACACATACATACAGACACACACATACAGACACACATACACATATACACACACACACACACATACAGACACACACATACACACACACATACACACATACACACACATACACATATACACACACAGAGACACACTCATACATACACACATACACATATACACACACAGAGACACACATACATACACACACACACACACACACACA